GGCGGGGATATGGATGTAGTTGGGCCTCAGAGGGCCGAGACACGTTCATATGCTCCGCGCTCTGGGGTCCCAGGACATTGATTCCCAGACGGTGGATATGGATGAGTCCCCGCATCGCACATTTCCTCTGGACAGGCCTGCGATGGTTTCCCGATGCATTTCCCGAGTAGTTTCAGGAGTATCCTGTTGTTCCATGTTGCGCCTCGAATGATTCAGTGTATCACTGTGCTGATACAGGGGGCTCAGGGGGCTGACGTGATTGTTCCACTTGGTTTTCCTTCATATGTGCATTCGCTTTTTTCTGGCGAGTTCCTTCTCTATGCGTGTCGGAGTATGGGCGGCTTGGCGGTCAGCCTGGTGTATGGCGCGTGCACTTCGGAACAGTTCGCCTTGGTTTTTGACTGTGTTGGTGGGCCCGCGCACGCACACACCGCAATATGCGGGTACCCATTATCGCCCCTGACAAATTACAATGCAGAGCAACCGTGGAGGGCTCGCGCCTGGTCAAATATTGCTAGGCATTACGGCAGGTGCCGCCGACCCTGGACGACTATCCCCACGGTGAAAAAGGCATTCGAGAAGGTCGGGACCAGACGCTCCCAAGAGTGCCCAAGAAGAGGTGCCCAAGGCCCCCACGAAGTTTTTCGGGTGTCTTGGGCGCCTTTTTGGGAGCCTTCTGGGGCTCCCTGTTCCTTGGGGGCGCCTGGGGGCCTCGTGGGGGCCTCTGGAGGACCTCAGGCCCCTCCAGGGGGTGGTATTCTGACCCAGGACCACCCCCTGGGACACCCCCAGCCCCATCCCTCCCATGACCCCTCCCCCCCTGGGGAAGGGATCCTAGGGAAGGGGCTTCCCTTCGACTCACCTACAACGTTGCTCAATTTCGCTGAGGCTATTCCGCTTTGGCTGGTGCGCTGAGGCGGAGGCGGAGGAGGAGGAGGAGGAGGAGGAGGAGGAGGAGGAGGAGGAGGAGGAGGAGGAGGAGGAGGAGGAGGAGGAGGAGGAGAAAGAGGAAGAGGTCCTGGATGCTTCTTGAAGGCTCTTTGGAGCGCCCTCGGGGGCTTCTGGGGGGAAGTTTTTGGGGTGTGTCTTGGGAGCCTTTTGGGAGCCTTTTGGGGGCCTCTTGGGGCTTCCTGGCGGTTGCTTGGGGGTGCCTGGGGGCCTCGTGGGGCCCTCTCAGAAGGACCCCGCAGGTGGGATGGTATTCTGACCCAGGAACACCCACCGGGATCTCCCCCTTGCCCCTCCCAGGGTTCCCCCCCGGCGGAGAAGGGATCAAAATGAAGGGGCTCCCCGTCGACTCGATTACGACGTTGCTCAATTTCGCTTAGGCTGTTCCGCTTTTGCTGGTGCGCTAAAGGGAAAAGGCGGCGACGGTGAACGACGACGACGACGACGACGACGACGACGACGACGACGACGACGACGACGACGACGACGACGACGACGAGTCAAGCTCAACAGCCTCTCGCACACGCCGACAGGGTCGGCGTTTTTTTCCTCAACGTGCGCTTTGCATTGTTTTTGTATGGATGGTGGGCCTTCGCGCTCGGCAATATGATACTCCACCCTGCCGTACCTGTCAAATCAGGCTACCGAGGACCCCCCCACACTTAATCATATATTTGCGGTGATGATGCAATCATTTCGTTGTGTTTGGGATCGGGAAAACGTCCCACGTGCACCACGCCTAGTGTCGAACGAGGGGAAGACTGGGTTGGAGTGGGAAAGAACGTGGAGGAGCGGGATTGCGGCACAAGCTTTCGCCCGCACACCTAGCGGCAGACGCCACTGCGACTGCACCCCGCGACGGAGTCGCGAGACCACGGCCTCCGACCCTGGCCCGCGCAACGCCCCCGCCCCGTTCGCACCCCCCCGCGGCGCCGACGAAGTGCTACGCCTGCTGGCCGGTGGGCCATGGTGCGCAGAGCGCCCCCAGCCCCTGCGGACACCCGGGTGGCGTCGAGAATGCGCCACGCCTGCTGGCGTATGCGCCACGGCCCGCAGAGCCCTCCCCCACCCCCTGCGCCCCCCCGTGCGGCGTCGAGAAAGTCTCGCGCCTGCTAGGCTACGTGCGACCATGGCACGCATAGCGCCCCCCCCCCCTCCCCCCCCCCGCGCACCCCGTGTGGTGTAGGCTAAGCTAGCCGCATGGCGCCCCCCTCCCCCCCCTGCGGCGCAACCCCCTGTCGGGTCGAGAATGTGTCGCGCCGCATAGCACCCCCACCCTCTGCGCACCCTCCTGTTGTGTCGTGAAAGTGCCATGCCTGCGAGCCTGGGGGCCATGGCCCGCATAGCGCTCCCACCTCCTGCGCACCCCCGCGTGGCGTCTAGAAAGTACTGCCCCTGCTAGCCTGTGGGCCATGGCACGCATAGCGCCCCCACCCCCTGCGCACACCTTGAGGTGTTGTGAAAGTGCCACGCCTGCCAGACTGCGAGTCATGGTCTGCATAGCGCCCCCACCCCCCGCCCTGCGCACCCTCTGTGCTGTCGAGACAGTGCCATGCCTGCTAGCCTGCGAGCCACGGCCAGCCTGGCGCCTCCACCCCCTGCGCACCCCCAGCGGTGCCGAGAATGTGCCACGCCTGCTCGCCCCTGAGCCATGGCCCGCATTGCGCTCCACCCCCCTGCACACCCCCTGTGGTGTCGAGAACGTGTCACGCCTGCTTTCTTGTGAGCCATGGCCTGCGTAGCGACGCCGCCTCCTTCGCCCCCCCTTGTTGTGTTGAGAGAGTTCCACGCCTGCTAGCTCGTGGACAATGGCGCGCAGAGCGCCCCCACCGACAGCGCACATTCTGAGGTGGTGGGCATGTGCCACGCCTGCTAGCCTGCGAGCCATGGCGCGCATAGCACCCCCACCCCCTGCGCACCCTCCTGTTGTGTCGTGAAAGTGCCATGCCTGCTAGCCCGCGAGCCATGGCCCGCACAGCGCCTCCACCCCATGCGCTTCTTTGTGCCGTCGAGAAAGTGCCACGCCTGCCACGCTATGCTAGCCTGCGCGTGTGCGTGTGTGTGTGTGTGTGTGTGTTGTGTTGTGTGGTGTGCGTGTTGTGTGAGTGACTAGGTCTGCGACTGTACTCGGCGGCTGCGTCTGTTGGAGCCACGAATGGTCTAGGCGTGTCGATTGCGCAGATGGCGTAGCCAACCACTCCGCTCCCTCAGTTGTGTCTCGTGTGCGCGTCTGGTGTTTGTGCTGCTGTATGTGCGCGTTTTCCGATGTCTGCGTCTGCGTGTTGTGCATGTGTGTGTGTGTGTGCCTGTTTGCATCGTGGCGTAATTCGCGTTTCGTACGACCTACCGCCGCCTTATCCGCCAGCGCAGTGACTTTGCCTAGCCGCCGACGCAAACTGTGTGTGTGTGTTTGTGTTTGTGTGCGTGAGACAGAGAGAGAGAGAGTGTGTGTGTGTGTGTGCATGTGTGTGTGTGTGTCTGGCCACGCGGCGCTGCTCGCTCTGAGCGGCTGGAGGGCTCGGCCGCTAGTCGCGCGCGCGTGCGTTCTCTTCTCCGACTTGGGACGCCCTGTCGCTGCACGCGGGGCCGCGACGTCATCCACGCGTGTGTGTGTGTGTGTGTGTGTGTGTGTGTGTATGCGTGTTAGTGTTTGTGTTTGGGTTTGAGTTTTTTGTTTGTGTGTGTAGGTGTGTGTGTGTGTGTTTGTGTGTGTGCAGTGTCTATGTTGTGTGCGTGTATGTGCGCGAGTGTGTGTGTGTGTGTGTCTGATGTGTGCGTTGCAACAGATGTATACTCGCGGTGTTTGGAGTGTGTGTGTGGTGTGTGGTAGAGTGTGTGTGTGTGTTTGTGTGTGTGTGTGTTTGTGTGTGTGTGTGTGTGTGTGTGTGCGTGTATGTGTGCGCGCGTGCGTGCGTGCGTGCTTGCGGCTGTAGACGTTCGCCTCAGCACTCGCCAGAACGCTTGAGCCAATGCTTGCTAGCAGATGAGGTTTTCAATTGAGCGTCCCTTCGACTTGCACGGCTTGTGATGCTTTGGATGTCTGCTCGTGTAGTCTCCAAGGCTGCACGCTTCGTCATACATGCTCGTGCGCTCCTCTTGGGAGTTACCAGTGCTCTGCGACACGTTCCGAAACATGCCAGCGCGTGAGCCCCACATAGTGTTGATGTGCAGTCTATGGCGTGCAATCCGGAATTCGAGCCATACCGACCCACCACAGGGCACCGATCACGGGGAACCCGCCAGAGGGCACCAACCATAGACGGCAACCATAGGGCACCAACCATTGGGCATTGTAGGGCATCGTCCATAGGGAACTGACCAGCAACGGCAGACTGCGAGGCACACGACATAAGGCACAGCGGGAGCCATTGGGCACTGATTGGGAATTACCGATTGCAGGACACATGCCATAGCGCACCGAGCGACACCATCGACCAGGAACGGTCGAATGTGGGGGACACGCCACAGTGCACCGATTGGGCACGGCCTATTGCAGCGCACATGCCATAGGGCACCGAGCAGGAACCACAGACCAGGAACGGCCGAACGTGGGGGACACGCCATAGGGCATCGAGCGGGAGCCATCCATCGGGCACCGACTGGGAATGGCCGACCGCAGCACACATGCCACACGGCACCGAGCGGGATCCATGTGGCACTGGCAGGAACTACCGGCTGCAGCACACATGATACGACACCGAGCTGGAATCATGGGGCACCGACCAGGAATGGTCGTTTGCGGCGCACATGCCACGAGCGGAAACCATAGGACATCGACCAGGAGCTGCAGCTCGCAGCACACAGGCCCAGATCTTTACTATCCAAGTACGACTTCCTAAGTTCAAGCACTTTGTTGGGAGTATCACGCCTGACTATCTTGCTGCTGGCCTCATGAATGTGCGAGTGCTGGAACATTTTGGCCGTCAATGCGGAATATGGCACCCTGCAGTTCGAGCTTCAATAGTGCATTTCGTGGCAAGTCATTGAGCGCTGACTGTGTGTGAGAGCGAGCGCGGAGCGAATTGGCCCCCCTGCGTGAATGAGCGTGGCAGCGTGCGCGCTCAGCGCCAGGTGCTCCTGTCATCGGCTATTGAGCTCAGGAGGGACATCTACGGGATCTTCGGCTCAGACTTTGGCTACTTTGTGGGCGCGGACCTTGCGAGAGGCGGGCTGCCAGCATGCCTGCTGCCTGAGCTGAGAGCTACGAGCGTGTTCTGCGGCTTGCCGCTTGCGGAGGTCGGCGACTGATGACTGCTGGGCAACCATGCCTGCGATGCTTCTTTATCTGGTGCTTGATTGCTGGGAACTGCTTTCGGGTGCGTTTCGTCATGTCGCTGCAGAGATGTCGGACTCGAGATGCTTGTGTGGTTCGTTGACAGGGATATCCTTGCGCGGACCTCGCTACACGGACCTCGTGCAAACGATTTCAAGCAGGCAATGCTGATGTATTTTGGAAGCTGTTCGTCATGGCCACGTGCTGCACGGAGGATGTGAACTGACGCGCTGACTAACAAGTGATACACATGTAAAGGTTCGTTACAATAACTATTACATCCGGATCGTGCAAGGTAAGACACCACAGGGGGGATGCAACATTCACCAAGCCTTCCCACCCTGGCGTCATTTATTGTCTCGTGTTCGCTATAGCTTGAGCTTTAACCCCCGCGTACTTACGGAGCTCGAGCGTTCTTACCCGAAGTGGCATTGGGTGCAAGATAATGTGCGGGTAATCTTTGAGGCTTGGAGTCTGACAGCTGTTGTCAGCCCCCACCCTAGCCGAATACATCAGTTTTCCGCTCGATGTGGCTTGACGTGAACGCGACGCAGTGCGCGAGGGTCGCACCTCGGTCCGTCGATTGTGACGAGACAGACGCCCCCAGACGGTGTTCGGATAGTGTTTTGATTGTGCATTGCGTATTTTTCTGCTGGTGCTTCGACTGGTCATTTCGCTCTCCCAGGGTTCATTTCGATCCGATCGATCCGTTTCGACATCGGCCCCGGCCGGCCCGATTTGTCGGGCGATCCGGCGTGGGCACATGCCTGCATGGTGCCGTGGAGCATCCTGGCGCCGCCGATCCGCTTCGATTCCGACTCTGAGCCGACGCGGCCCGATTCGAGACACGCCGCCCTTCGCCCCCTAAGGTTCGATACACGTTCCGATCCGACCCTCCTCCTCCTCCTCCTCCTTCCCCTCCCTCCTCGATCTTCAAGTTCGATGCTGACTCTTCCTGCCTCCGGAAGCGTTGCGGCCCACGTGGCGGGCGGCAGGGCTTCTGGCGAGGCGAGCGCTGCGCCCTCCGCGGCCTGCGGCGGGAGCCTCGACGCTCAGGGGATGTCCGCCGCGCGGCTGCTGCGCGGAGGGCTTCTCGCGGCGCTGACGCTGGCTGCCAGGGCCGGCAGCGGCATGGTGGCGATGGAGCGTCAGATTTCGAGTAGGGGACCGACTACAGAACTGATTTGCCCCAAAATTGTGCTTTCCCGTCGGGTCTACGAAGAGTGCGTAGAATGCTCTGTAGATCCACGGAGTATTCTACGTGTTCTTTATAGGCTCGACGGGCAAACACAAGTTTGGGGTAACTCAATGCTGTAGTCGATCCCCGACTCGAAGATTAGGATGCAACTCCTGGAAGGTTATATTCGGGCGCTGGTAGATCCCTGGTCGAATACCGGCCAACTCTAGCTTGATCCAATGTAGTCTGGCTTGCTCCCGCTCTTCCTGCTTAAATCCCGCTTGATCCGATTTAATCCTGGGCCATCCTTGGCTTAGTCGGGCCTCATCGGGCTGAATGGCCCCGTCATCGGGCTTAATAGCTTGTCATCGTACTGACGAAGACCTCCCATGAGCTGCCTCCTGGCCCAGAGCGTGGGGACTGCGCCTCCGCTGCGGGGCTGGTCGGTCGCGGGGCCCGCGGCGGGAGAGGAGATGCTGGAGCTCACCTTCGCAGTCCGCCAGAGCGGCAGGGCGGCGCTGCTCGACGCGCTGATGCGCACGTCGCGGCCCACCTCGCAGGAGTACGGCAGGCACCTCTCGCTGGAGGACGTCAACGCGCTCACGGCCCCGAGCCCCGCCCACCTCGAGGCGGTCTCCTCGTTCATCAGGCGCCACGGCGCGGAGCCACGCGCGGCCACGCCCAACAGCGACTTTGTCACCGCCGTGGTTCCCGTGCGGGTCGCGGAGGTGATGCTGTCCACGCGGTACGTGCGCCTCGTGCACAACCGCTCCGGCGCGGAGGTGAGCCGGGCGCCGTTCGGCTACAGCCTGCCCGAGGAGGTGGCCGCGGCGGTGGATTTTGTGGCGCCCACGGTGCACGTGCCTGGGGCACGCGGGGTCCAGACTCGGCTGCGCGCAAGTGTGAGCGTGAGCCTTCGCCGGAGGGACCTTCGGTGCGGGCCCGCGGGGGTCGCCGCATCACCGGCTTGCGCGCTTGGATTTGGCTCCCTCGCGGCCCCAGCCGGTCACTCTCGCCCAGGGTCACTCCTGCGTGCAGCCGACAGACAGCAAGGCCCGCCAAGGCATCCATCGGTTTGAACACGCCAAGAAACCTACGCACGCTTTACAGCATCGGGGACACGGAGGGCAACACCACGAGCAACAGGCAGGCCGTGACGGCGTTCCTCGAGCAGGGCTTCTCAACGCTCGGGCTCAAGGCCTTCTGGAAGGTTCACTGCGGTGGGATTACCTGCGGCAAAGGCGCGGTGAAGATGGTCGGGGACGCCGCGTCCCCCGGTCTCTCTGGCGGCGTAGAGTCGATGCTGGACATCGAGACCATCACTGGCGTCGCTGGTAATGTCGAGTCGGAATTCTGGGGTTTCTCAGGGAGGTCGCCCGACAACGCACACAATGAGCCGTTCCTGAAGTGGCTCACCACGCTCGGCAGCACCTCGGACGCCGAAGTGCCCAAGATCTTCTCGACCAGCTATGGGGAGGACGAGGGCTCCTGGTCGACTGCCGCGGCGCAGCGCCTCGGCGTGGAGTTCCAGAAGGCGGGGGCGCGCGGCATCTCCCTGCTGTACGCCGCGGGGGACGAGGGGGCGAACTGCGAGCAGGGAAAGTTCGTGCCTGAAGGCCCAGGGTCCTCGCCCTACGTGACGGCGGTGGGCGGCACGATGCCCGCGAGCGGCTACCCGGCTCCAGGTTCCGAGGCAGCCGTCGGACTCAAATCGACAGGAGAAGCACGCTGACCACGACCAAGATGTCGCGGGGTCTTGTCGACGCCGATCTTGGCCATGGTCCTTGCCGGCCGTCGCCCATTCGCAAGGATGACCCACGGATCGACGGTGACCAAGATGGACGGTGACCAAGATAGGATCGGCACCGGTGTTTTTTCGCGTTGTTTTTGGCATTGCCCTCGGCTCTTCCCCTCCATCAGACGTGTTCAAACATATGGCATTTCTGTGCAGCTGGCACGACGGGTAATAGCAGCAGTAGCCGCGGAGGGGTATCTTTCAAGTCTGCATGTTTGGGCTTCAAATATATACATCGGAATGCTGTTCGTTTGGGGCATCTCCATAGGGCCAGTTTCCCTCGGTGAAGGGGCTCACGTTCTTGATCCGCGTTATTGTGGCAATGTTTCGATTGTAGCGAGGTGTCGAACAGGAAGAGCAGCATCGGCAATCACAGTGGTAGCTGTACGGGTAGGTATAAACAGTATAGCACGGTGAGAACTAACTGTGCAAGTCGCAGCGACTTCCGCCTCTGCCGCTCGCCCTCCTTCCCCAGGCATCGAGTTCTCCCTCCTCCTCCTCCTCCTCCTCCTCCTCCTCCTCCTCGTGATCCTCCTCCTCCTCCTCCTCCTCCTTCTCCTCCTCCTCCTCCTCGTGATCCTCCTCCTCCTCCTCTTTCTCCTCCTCCTCCTGCTCCTCCTCCTCGTGATCCTCCTCCTCCTCCTCCTCCTCCTCCTCCTCCTCCTCGTGATCCTCCTCCTACTCCTCCTCCTCCTCTTCCTCCTCCCTTCTTTCCTTTGTCCCTGGCTTCCTGCTCCTTTTCCGTCTCCCTCTCCTCGTCGTCCTCCTCCCGAGAGACTTGAGTCCTGATGGCATCCTGGTCGAAACCGACGCTGCCACTGCTCCCGCCTGGCGGCGCCGCGCGGCGCGCCAGGCGGGGCAGTTCCGAGCGTGGGCCGCTGGCGCCCGGCGACGGGCCGCGGGCCTTCCTCCGTGACGTCCACGCTCCTGGCGCCCCCGGGGGGGCGTTGGGCCCGTGCGGGGGGCCCCGCTGCTCCTCCTCGGGGGTCTGCCGTCCTCTCCCCCCAGTGAGAGGGGACGGCCGCGCCCCACCCCCGAGGAGGACCCCACGCCGAAGGCCGGCCATGCGCAGGGGGAGGGGGGGGGAGGGGGGAAGGCTTCTTAGAAGCACCCCTGCTTCTTAGAAGGCGCGGACCTTGTCTGTAGAGGCAGGGCTGGCACCGTCCAAGAAGCGGCCTCCTTCGAAGAAGCCTTCCCCCCTCCCCTTTACCCCCCTGTGCGCGCCGCCAGGAATGTGAGTTGGTGGCCCAGCGTCTTCACGCACCGATTCGGGTCGCTGTGCTTTCGGACGAGGGCGGTTGTGTGGTGGATGTCGCTGTCTCCGGTGGTGCGGTGGGGCGTGGGGCGGGGAGAGTGCCGGTGCTGGCAGGTTGCGCCGGGGTGGGCGGAAGGGTGCTGCCGGGCATGTCGCGCAGCCCCTGTGGCTCCCTGAGGCCCGTCACTGCGGGGTGCCGCGAGCCGCGCGGCCCGAGGGCGAGGGCGGGTGGGGAGGTTGCCGGTGTCGGTTGCCGGTCGCCGCCCAGGCCGTTCACCTCGTGGTAGTGCTGGTCTCGGCCTTGGTGACAGAGCTGCTGGTTGCAGTCGTGGCGCTGCTGCTGATCGGTGTCGCGGCGTATGTGTTGCTTCTGCTGGTCACTGGGTGGGGCGTCTGGTGGAAGGCAGAGTGGGGGCGTCGTCATGGTGCTGCTGTCCGCCGCCCCTGGTGCTGCTGCTCGTCCGACGGCGTGGAGCGTCGGGAGCAAGCAGTCGTGCCAGGCTCGGGAGCCATGCTGGCGTCGATGCTCGGATCGATGCTGGTGCTCGTGATGACGTTGATGACGTCGATGCTGGCCTCGGTGCTGGTGGCCGTGCCATCTTCGATGATGGTGTTGATGATGGTGCCATCGATGCTGTCTTCGCTGCTGGGGTCGGTGGTGGTGTCGGTGTACGCGTGGGTGCGGGTTCTGATGCTGGAGTCCATCGTGTCCGCGCTGCGCGCGTCAATGCCGGCGTCGGTGATGGCGTCGGTGCTGGCGTCGCTGTTGGCGTCGATGCTGACTGGCATCGGTGCGGACGTTGATGTAGGCTCCTGTGCTGTGGTGCTGCTGCTGGCGCGGCCCATTGTGTCGGTGGGGTTGATCCTCCTCCTCTATAGCCCCTTCCACCTCCTACTTGGACATGACCTTCACCACTCTGGTGGTCATCCAGCGTCGGTGCTGGAGTCGATGCTGTGGTCGATACTGGCGTCGGTGTGGGCGATGCAGGCTCACGTGCTGGAGTCGATGCTGTCATCGGTACTTGTGTCGATGCTGGCGCGAGTTCTGGTTTTGGTAGGGTGGCGGGTGGATCGCGGGATGGGGCGTCGGAGAGGAAGTCGGGGCGGGCGTCAGACATGGCGTCGGTGGGAGCGTCGGGGATGACGTCGTGCGGGTGGTCGGCGCAGCGCACCTGTCTGAGTCGTGGTGCTTGTCGAGGGCCGCGTAGGAAGGCTGGCTTCGATGCTGTGAGGGCTGATGCGGGTGTCAATGCGGGCGTCGGTGCTGGCGTCGATGCTGGGGTCGATGTTGGCATCGGCGGGTGCGTCCGTGCAGGCTCCTGTGTTGGAATCGATGCTGATTTCGGGGCTGGTGTCGATGCTGGCGTGTCTTCGCGGCTAGGGTGAGTATTTCCTTCGGTGCTGCAGTCAGTGCTGGCGTCGATGCTGACGCCGCTGCTGGCCAATGGTGGAGTCAGTACAGTGTGGGATGCTAGCGTCGATGCGGAGATCGATGCTGGCGGGGGTGCTGGCGTCGAAGCTGGAGTAGATGCTTGTGTTGGAGGCGTCGTTGCTGGGGTCGATGCTGGCGTAGGTGCAGGCTTCGATGCAGGCTTGTGTGCTGGAGTCGGTGCTCTGGTCGGAGCTTGTGTCGAATCCGGCTTCGGTGCTGTCGTGAGGGCTGGTTCCAGGACTGGGGTCGGCGGCGATGTCGATGATGGCATAGATGCGGATTCTGATGCTGGAGTCGGTTGTGTCCTCGATACGATCGTCGATGCTGCTATCGATGCGGGCGTCGGTGCTGGCGTCGATGCTGGGGTCGATTCGATGCTGGCGTCGCCGTTGGCGTTAATGTTTGCGTCGATGCCGTAGTCAGTGCTGGTATCGGTGCTGACGTTGATTTTGGCTTCGGGGCCAGGGTGACCCTTGCCGACGATGCTGGCGTCGATGTTGGCATTATTGGTGGCTTCGATGCTGGAGTCAGTGCTGGCGTTAGTACTGCCGTCCCAGAGTGGTGCTGCTGGATTCCGTCGTGCTGTTCTTGATGCTGTTTGTGGGGTTATCGTGGTACTCGCGGTAGTGCTGCTGAGCATGGGGTGATCAGTGGGACATGGCGTCAGGCTCGGCGCCGAACTGGGCATCGGCTTGGGGAGCGAGCTGGGCGTCGGACTTGTCGCCGGCCTCGGTGCTGGCGTCGCGAAGCTGGTTGCTGGTTTGCTGCTGACGGGTGTTCAATGATCCCTGGAGTCGATACTGGCGCAGGTGCTTTGTCGATGCTGGCGCTGGTGCGGACTTCAATGCAAGCAGCAGTGCTGGATTCGATGCTGTGTTTGGTGCTATTGTCGATGTTGGCACCAGTGCTGAGGTCAGCGCTGTAGTCGATGCTGGAGCTTGTGTGGGTAAGGATGATGGTGTTGATGATGGCGTCGTTATTGGCGTCCGTGCTGGCCTTACTGCTGGGGTGGTTGGTGCCGACGATGCAGTCGTAACTGCAGGCTCCTGTGCCGGGGTTGGCGCTGGTGCCGGTGGTGGGGCGTCTCGAGGCAGGTCGCTGGCGTTTTGCTGGCAGATGTGCTCGACGATCACCTTGCTGCGCCCAAGCGGCGTCCCATTGATGTACTTGATGGCCTTCTTGGCGGCGTCCTCTGTTCCGTAACAAACGACGCCGTAGCCCTTGGAATTGCCGACAGAGTCGCACGCGAGTTTACACGTGCGGATCCTGCCGCACAGGCGAAAGGTGTCGTGCAGGGTGCTGTTGTCGATGTCGATGTCCAGATTTCTGAGGTAGATGCAGGTGGTGTTGTCGCGCGTGGTGCTATGGAAGTGGACGTGTGCGTGACCGGTGGTCTTAGCGGTCTGGTTGTTGCGATAGACCTGGATCGACGCCGCTGTTCCCGTCGCACGGAAGATCGCTAGGAGCGTATTCATGGTGACGCCGTGCTGGAGGTCGCCGACCCAAAGGGAGGCGAGCTGCTGCCTGTCGTCGTCATTCTGCTCAGGGTGGTGGTGCTGAATTTAAGTATGTTGCTCACGCTCACAGTGGTGCTGCTGGAGTGCGTTGTATTGTTCGGTGTGGTCGTGGTATATTGCATCGTGTTGCTCTCTGTCACGTTGTTGTGTACTTTCGTGCTTCTCGTTTGGCAGGTCCTCGAAAGCGCCGCGTTGCTCCCAGTGGTGCTGCTTGAGTCCGTGATGATGGGTGCACTCGTGCCGGGTACACTCATGCTGTTGGCGTTGGTGGTGTCGGGTTCCATCGTGCTGCTCGCGATGATACTGGTGGGATTCGTGATGCTGGTAGCGGTAATGCTGCTGATGCCTGGAATGCCGCTCGCTCTGGTGCTGCTGGATGCCGTGGTGCTGCCCATGTCGCTGCTGTTGGATTCCGTTATGCTGGCCTCGATGGTGCTGGCGGGGTCTGTCACGCTGATCGCGGAGGTGTTGCTGGGCATAGGGCGAGGCGTGGGGTATGGCGTCGGCTTGGGCGTCCACCTGGGACATCTGGGTCTTGGCGTCGAGCTGTGGGTCCGGGGCAACAGCGGGCTGCACGTGATCTCGGCGGTGCTGCTGGATCCGACGGTGGTGCTCCTCGCCTGTCCTGACGTCCGGCCTCCCCATCTCCTCCCCCCGACCCCACCTGGTGCAGTGCCTCCTCCTCCACCAGTGCCACGGCCTCCACCTCGGAGTGCTCCTCCAGGTCTTCCCCGACGCCTCCTGGGGCCTCCAGGTCCAGGGCTTCCACCACCGACTCCTCCTCGTCCAGGGCCACCTCCAGGTCCTTGTCCTCCCTCCTCTCCTGCTGCTTCTTGGCCTGGTACTCGCGGCGCACCGCGGCGGCGCGCACGGCCTCCTAGGCGGCTTTCTCGGTGGCGGCGAGGGGGGCGGGTAGGCGACGGCGGGCTTGGCGTAGTCGGCGGCGTTGGTGTCGGAGGCGTGGTGGTGCTGGTGGTCGTAGTCGTGGTGGTGCTGCTGGTGCTGCTGTTCGTTCTCGTGGTTAGTTCCAGGCTCCTGGCGCGACCTGGATGGCTACATACTTGTACTCGCGGATGTGGCTGTGAGTAGTGCGATCATGAGCATCGTGGGCGTCATATTCGCCGGCCTTGGTGCTGGCATCGGTGCTGGGTGGTGGAGGCGTCGGCGTACTGCTGATGCCAGTTTTGCTGCCAGTCGTTCTGTTGGTCGCTGGGTGCCTGAGCGTAGGGCTTCGCCACAGCGCCCTTCGGGCCACAGTCCTGGTCGCTGGTGCAGCGCCGCAGCCGCGCGGCCGCGGCCTCGGCGGCGATCCGGCGTCGGTGCCTCGCGGCGCGGCAGGCCGCGGTGGCGCCCGGGGTGGCGGCCTCCCAGGCCCTCTGGGAGCTGCAGGGGCCGCCCGAGAGGTGGGCAGCCACCCGCGAGGGCGGCGAGGGGCCCCGCCTGGGCGGGCACCGGGGCCAGGGGTGCCCCACTTGCTCCCTGCCAGGCCAGGCGACCGCCGCGCGGCGTCGCGGGCGCCGCGGCGCCAGCTCGCGGCGCGAGCGTCTGCCGGGCGCCGCGCTGGGCGCCCCCCCCCCCGCATAGGAGAGGTAGCGCCTCCCTCCTCCTCCTCCTCCTCCTCCTCCTCCTCCTCCTCCTCCTCCACTTCCTCCTCCTCCTCTCCTCCTCTCCTCCTCTCCTCCTCCTCCTCCTCCTCCTCCTCCTCCCCCTTCCTCCTTTGACTACTGGTAATCCTCCTCGTTCTCCTCCTTCTTTGGATCTACCTCTTGCACAGTTTCAGGAAGCATCAAGACCTCAATTAGTGGTTCTGTGCCGTGTGTGCGTGATGTCAGATGACCAGCAGCTTTTGGGGCTGGGCAAGTAGTGTCGTAAAAGGGCCGCTCTCACTCGCTCAGCCTATCTCGAGCGATTTCGGTCAGGGCTGGCCTAAGTTTTATGGTAAAACCGAGCAGGCCAAGAAGGTCCCGGGCTTAAATGTTGCGGTTGTTTTTGACACTGTCTTGGGGCTTTAATCCTATGATTATTCGTTTTCCTCCTGGGGGCTCTTTGGGCCCGTTTCAGGCTGCTTTTGGTTTCTATGGGACCTGTTTTGTCTCGATAGGGCTCTCTCGTATCCTTTTTGGATTGCTTGTGACCTCACCGGTGTCATATTGTGCCCGCTCACATCGTTATGTGGCCCTCTATAGTGAGTGTGTGTGTGTGTGTATGTGTGTGTGTGTGTGCGAGTGTGTGTGTGTGTGGATCTACTTGCATTCTAATCTTGAGTAAAGCCAGAGTGGGAGTTTGCATTTATATGTTTTTCCCTCGTACGGAGAGGTTTCCCGACCCTCGACCAAGGCCGGCGCAACATCTGTTATCACATATCATTATCTAGGCTTGAATTCGATTACGTGCGCACGCGTGCGCATTCCCAGTGGTATAAAACATAACATCACCCATACACCCAGAACATCATCTTCGGGTGTAATGACGTTCGCAGAGGGAAAATTGTTCACATGGAGGGGGTGGTAATGCCATGAGAACAGTGTTATTGCCTTGACTGAGAAGGCGGCGATCGGGCTCAGTTCTGGCGGCTTCAGTAATTACTGGCCCATGCCGGACTACCAGAAGGAGGCCGTGCAAAAGTACTTGACCATGGAGGGCCTCCCGAGCCGCTCGAGGGGCTACAATACCTCGGGCCGCGCGTACCCGGACATCGCCGCGCAGGCAACGGATTTTATTGTCTACACGCCAATACCAGTGCCGGGCGTGTCAGGGACCAGCTGCGCGTCACCCACGGCGGCAGGGATCTTCGCGCTGCTGAACGACCTGCGGCTCGCACAGGTCCGAGGATCATTTTTGCCTTCGCCCTCGCTAAACAACTCACACACTCCAACTATATTTCTGGGGTTCTATCTTAGTTGGGTGGCGGGTTTAGCATCGGTTGGTAGGGGGTGTCCCCGAATGCGGTTCAGCATGTCTCAACAGGGCAAGTCCACCCTGGGGTTCCTGAACCCCCTCATTTATGAGCACTTCTCGGCGTTCAACGACGTCACCACTGGGGCCAGCGCTGGCTGCCTCACTGACGGCTGGCCCGCCAAACCTGGCTGGGACGCGGTCACTGGCGTGGGGACGCCCGACTTCGCCAAGCTGGCGAAGGCCCGAACGCCAGAATGCACAGGATATCCATGCTGTGACTTTTTGGGTGAGCGTTCTGTGAAGGTTTTCCAGAAACTCATGTCTAAAGCACGTGTGTACCTCCTGTTACGTTTTGTTGTTGTTGTTGTTGTTGTTGTTGTTGTTCTTGTTGTTGTTATTGTTGTTGTTGATGTTGTTGCTGCTGCTGCTGCTGCTGTTGTTGTTGTTGTTGTTGTTGTTGTTGTTGTTGTTATTGTGGTTGTGGTTGCTGCTGTTGTTGTTGTTGTTGTTGTTGTTGTTGTTGATGTTGTGATTGTGGTTGTTGTTGTTGTTGTTGTTATTGTTGTTGCTGCTGCTGCTGTTGTTGTTGTTGTTGTTGTTGTTGTTGTTCTCGTTATTGTTCTTGTTCTTGCTGTTGTTGTTGTTGCTGTTGCTGTTGCTGCTGCTGCTGTTGTTGTAGTAGTTGTTGTTGTTGCTGCTGCTGCTGCTGCTGCTACTGTTGTTGTTGTTGTTGTTGTTGTTGTTGTTGTTGTTGTTGTTGTTGTTGAATTCTCACTTCTGAAGAATAATTATTGTTGACCCCCCCCGTCTGGTGCACATTGTTTTTTCGATTGAAATGCCCTTCCTGTGGCTCGCACCCTGTTTTTTATCGGGGGAAGTCTTGAGGGTCAAACTGTGTCGTTGGCCCCCGGTTTACAACAACAACGGCTCCCGCCTGATATTCCTTACAAGTTATCGAAAAATCTGGCTCTCGCTGGGAACTTCCTTGCAATTTACCACCGGATCGCGGCTCCCGCTTGATACTTCTTCACAATTTATTGAAGAATCGCGCTCTCGCTTGGGACTTCCTCGCAACTTACCACCGAATCGCGGCTCCCGCCTGATACTTCCTCACAATTTATTCAGATGCCGTTCCTCGACACTCAGGAATCGCGCTCCCGCCAGATATTGCTTGGCAGTTCGAGCAGAATTTAAGCTTCAACGACCCGCCCGCTCAACCCGCCCGTCTGGGCCTGCCCGCCCGACCAGCCCGTTAGGGACTGCAGTCGCCGCTCGCTGCCCTTCGCCCGCCTTCGATGCCCCTCGCTGCCCGTACTGGTTCCGCGGTCGCCTTCGCTCGCTGCCCTTCGTGGCCCCGTTGCTGCCCTCAGTGGCCCCGTCGCTGCCCATTGTGGCCCCGCATTCTATGCCCTTCGTGGCCCCCGCTCGCAGTCGCCCGTCGTGGCCCCATACGCATGTCCTTCGTAGCCCCGTTGTCGCCTTTCGTGGCCCTCTCGCTGCCCTTCGTGGCCCCTTTGCTGCCCTCAGTGGCCCCGCTGTCGCCCTTTGTGGCCCCATATACGAATGCCCTTCGTGGCCCCCGCTCGTTCGCGCCCGTCGTGGCCCCATATGCATGCCCTTCGTGGCCCCGCTGTCGCTCTTCGTGGCCCCCTCTCCGCCCTTCGTGGCCCCGTTTCTGCCCTCAGCGGTTCATCGCTGCCCTCTGTGGCCCCGGATTAATTGCCCTTCGTGGCCCCCGCTCGCTCGCGCCCTCCGTGGTCCCATACGCATGTGTTTCGTTGCCCCGCTGTCGCCATTCGTGGCCCCCTCGCTGCCCTTCGTGGCCCACTTTCTGCGTTCAGTGGCCCCGCTGTCGCCATTTCTGGCCCCATCTATGTATGCCCTTCGTGGCCCCCGCTCGTTCGCGCCCGTCGTGGCCCCATATGCATGCCCTTCGTGGCCCCGCTGTCGCTCTTCGTGGCCCCCTCTCTGCCCTTCGTGGCCCCATTTCTGCCCTCAGCGGCTCCGCCGCTGCCCTCTGCGGCCCCTTATACGTATGCCCTTCGGGGCCCCCGCTCGTTCGCGCCCGTCGTGGCCCGTGCCAACAACGGCTCCCGCCTGCGTTCCCGCAGGTTTTCGGAGCCTCTGGAACTGTTCGGTGGTCATCGGGGCCATTCCGAGGCCCTTCAGACGTCATAGGAGGCTTTCGGGTGCATTCCACTCCCCCCGCGCGTTGTTTCCGCACCAGTCTTCGCTTGTATCTACCTGCCCCCACTTTTCAACGTTTTTTTTTGTTGTTTTTTGTTTTGTTTTCCCCCCGAGTCTTTTCTACTCTTTCCCTTTATCTTCATATTCATCTCGTTCGTACTCCATTGTGCTTTTCCTCAGCGCTTCGCATTCCGCCCACTCGTCCCCAGGCCACCCCATCCCACACCAACAATCTCCACCCCACCCCTTCCCGCTCGCATCCCGCATTCCTCTTAAATTATTCCCAGTCCTTCCTCCAGATTCCTCCGTGCGCCCCCCGCTCTTCCTCACTCCTCCCGGTTCCACTTCTCCATTCCTTGCCGCCCCTCCTCCTGAGACCCCACTCTCGTCCATTCCATCCCTATCCACTCCACGTCCCCGCGCTCCTCTCGACGCGGTTGCAGTTCGCGTTATCCTTCCGCCACTCCCCCCCAACATCCCGCTTCTTTCCAGGGTTCCACGAAATTTGTTCCTGACGCCAGTTCGCAGCTGTGCGTCCACCCGCGGGGGTATCCACGATATGTTCTTTCAAGGGGGTGGTGCGTGGCGCTGTTTATGGCGCGACCCGTGGCGAAACTTATTGTTAACCTTTGTTGGAGTGGCTGGCGCAAGCCATGGCGCGAACTGAACCGTCACTCGCAGCGCAAGTCATCGTCCTCCCTTCTTCTTGCCCCTTCCCTCCCTTCTCCGATCCCTTCGTCCCTGTTCTCCCCCGTCATCTGTCGCCCTTCGTTTTCAAGGGCTTCGCCAGCCACGCGTGGCAGGGAATGAACATACCCCCCAAGCGGGGGTACGATCGAAGACGAAGAGGGCGGGTATCCAGGGTTTGAGATATGCGTATTGAATGGCACGCGATCAGATAAGAGCGAACATTATTAAACTGCTTGCTGTTGTAGTTGCTCTCTCTCTCTCTCTTTCTCTCTCTCTCTCGTCCCTCTCTCGTATCGTCTCTCTCTCTCTCTCTCTCTCCCTGTCTCTCTCTTTCTCTCTTTTTTTTGTTCTCTCTCTCTCTCTCTTCCTCACTCTCTCTCTCTCTCTCTCTCTCTCTCTTCTTTCTTTCTTTCTTTCTTTGTCTCTCTCTCTTTCTCTCTCTCTCTCTCTTTTTTTCCCCTTCCTCCACTCGATATGTATATCCTGTGTGTACTCGCCTTGCGCAGGTAGTGGAGGGGCTGCCATCGGGCCGAAACCTGGAGATCGTGATTTGAGCCTGCTGCTTAGGGCAACCTGGGTGGGTGGGTGGGTGGGGGGGGCGTCGCAGACGGATGGGACCCGGCCAAGCTTCGCGGGGCCCCTTCGGGCTCAGATCGGAGCCGCAGGCGACGACAGACGACGGGGCCAGCGGCGGGGGGCGGGGACTGGACTGGCGGGGGCTGTGCGCAGTGACGGTGGTCGTTTTGGTCTTACCCCGTGGGTTGCTACTGGATCCCCTCTTAGATCTGCAAGCGTTCGTGCGCCCACCAGGGGCCAGTGATGTGGCGGTTTTTGCTTGTCCCGCTAACGCGAGCCCTGGTGGATGCAAGTAAACATTAGGAGGCCCGTCCCTGGTTGTACGATTGTGTATGTGTGCGTCCACATCGGAATTGGCACACGACGCGAAACGATGCGAAGTACGACCAAGCCGACCCACGCTTACGTATTGAAGACTCAGTAGATACATCGTTGCCGTGTGGGGTTTCCGAAGGATCTCGAAAACGCCTGTTGGGGCATTCGGGATGTCTCCGAGGGGCCTCGGGGGCCGCCTGTCTGTGGCGCGTGGCTTGTCTGTCCACTGTCCATGGTCAGCAAATCCGTGGCCAGTGGTTCGCTGGCTGGTGACCCAGTTGCCAGTGCCAGCCATGTTCAGAGGGGGGCAGGGGGAGGGAGGAAGGATTCTCACAAACACCCCTGCTTCTCAGAAGGCGCGGGCCTCGTCTACATATGGAAGGGCCAGTGCCTTTACGAAGCAGCCTCCTTCTAAGAAGCCTTCCCCCGGCCCTTTCGCCCCATTGTGCACGCCGTCAAACATGATTCGGTGGCTCGTGGCTAGGTGGATCGTGATTCGGTGGCCCATGGTTTGTAACTGGCCGAGGGGGCGCAAACGGCTCTCATGTTTTGTTTCGTGAAAGTTTGGACGCAGTTCCAGGTCATTGGTTTTACAAGGTTCGTGTTCAACGTTGCTAGAATTTCGGAACCCCGAAAATATCTGATAAACTTCGGCGGCAAAAAGTTTCAATCATCCGGAGCGCGTTTGAACTTTCTCTTGAACTCCCGAACTGGTATCGTTTTTGTGTGTTCAAGTTTTCCATCTTTAAGCCTTTCCAAACTCTGAGAGCACATTCGAACTTTTTCGGATTCTCCTTAGACTTTTTTTCCGAACTCTTGCTCTCCTTGATATCCGAACTCGAACTTCTAACTTTCCCTCGAACTCAAATCCGAAGGACGGCCGTCGGTGCCCCCCTCAGCCAGGCAGAACCCATGGCGCGATGGCCCATGATCTTATGCTGCGCTTTGGTCGGCCGTCGTTTGTTCCCCACCATCCCGTGCTGAGTTGGTTCCTGGTTTTGGATCCGCAGCGCCCTGCGTCACACCTCACTCGCTCCCGCCCCCTCCATCCCCTTCAATCCCTTCCTCTGCCCTCCCTCGAGTCACCCTTCGCGCGGTTCGTGGCCCCACAGGAGGCTCCACAGAAGGCCCCAGCGGCAGAGCGCGCATGCCGAACCCGCGCCCATTTCGGCAGACCCCCAACACGCTTCGTGGCCCCTCACGGGGCTTCACCGAAAGCCCCAGCGGCAGGGTCCACATGGCGGCCCCGCGCCCATGTCAGTACAGCACTTACACGTTTCGTGGCCCCATGGGGGGCTCCACCAACGGCCCCAATGGGAAGGTCCGCATGGCGGCCTTTCGCCCATCTCAGTACACCCCTCGCACGTTTCGTGGCCTCATAGGGATGATCCATCTAATGCCCCAAAGTCAGTGTCCGCATGGCGGCCCCGCGCCTGTTTCGGCACACCGCTCACAAGCTTCTTGGACATGGGGAGCTCCACCGAAGTCCCCAACGTCAGGGTCCGCATTGCGGCCCCGCACGCATTTCGGCAATTCCACTCACACGCTTCGTGGTCCCACAGGAAGCTCCACCGAGGGCCCCAGCGGCGGGATCCGCATGGCGGCCCCGCACCCGTGTGGGCACATCCCTCACACGTTCAGTGGCCCCAAAGGAGCTCCACCGAGGGCCGCAGCGGCAGGGTCCGCACGGCGGCCCCGCGCTCCTGTCGGCACACTCTCACACGTCCCGCGGCCCCACGGGGAGCTACGCCCGAGGCGGGTCCGTGTGGTGGCCCCGCGCCTGTATCGGCACACCACTCACACGTCTCGTGGCCCCGTGGGGGCTTGCAGCTCCGTCGTCCCATCTGCCTTTGGGCGTTCGCACCCGCATGTTGGGTCCTTCGCCAGGATCACTTTGGGCAAGGGCGCCCTCGAGGGCGCGAAGTGATTCGCCGTTCGCGCTTCGCGCTTCGCGGTTCGGCTCCGATTTCTCCTTGTCCTGCTCTTCTCCCCTGGGGGGCGGCGCGAGAGCGCGAAGTTCTTCGCGCTCCTCGCAGCGCGAAGCGTGAAGTTAGGCGCCATTGCAGAGCGGGTAAATGCCAGGGGTTGGCCCAACCCCCTTTGATTCGCGTCTTCTGCAGTCTTCGGAGAGGGGTTAAGCGGTGGGGGTTGTTTCTACCTCTACCCTACTTCCCAGTGGAACCCTCCAGTTGGTGGCCCGTGGCCCACAATGTGCCAAGATGTTCCGTTGCCCTTCCCTGAGATCCGACGTCGAGAATATGGTAATCTTGCACGACATTGAGAAGATTGTAACCTTGCGAAAAATCACGATGTGAGCTCTGAACCCCATCTTTCGGCAGCATGTTTCGAGCCGGATCGATCCGTGAGGGTCCCGGGGCCCGAAACCGAGTAATTTTGCCCGTTGTGCAAGAGATCCAGGTTCTCAGGGTTGAAAGCCATGTCAGGTCTGCGAGTTCGAGCGAAATGCCTTCTAAGGAAGCCAGCCCATGTAGCTGACTGGTCCTATCACAATCCGCTGCGCTCTGCGCGGGCCTTGGCCCAGCCACAGTGGAGCCGCAGCCAGACCGCTAACTGGGCGCACACTGCCTTGCACAACCCGAGCCGAGCATCAGAGGTATGAGGGAGAGGGGAAAGGAGAAGCAGGAGGGGTGTGATGATGATGCCTTTTGATGATGCTGATGCTGATGCTGATGCTGATGATGATGATCGTGGTGGTGGTGATGATGATGATGATGATATTGTTGATGATGCTGATGATGATGATTAGGATCATGATCATGATGCTGCTGCTGATGATGATGACGCTGATGATGATGCTGATGGTGATGACGATGCCGATGATGATTCAGATGCTGACGATAACCATGATGGTGATGATGATGATGATGATGATGATGATGATGATGACGATTCTGATTATGATGATGAATGTGGTGATGACGATGACGATGATGATAGTGGCTGATTACGCTGATGATGGTGGTTGTGATGATAATGCTGATCACGCTGCTGCTGATCCTTCCCATGACGATGCTGATGTCGTTGATGATGCTGATTATGATTGATTATGATGCTGCTGATGATGATGATGATGACAATGATGAGGTCGATGATGATGGTGATGCTGATTCGGATGCTGCTGATGATGATGAATGCGATGATGGTTATGATGATGATGATGATGATGATGATGATGATGATGATGGTGACGATGTTTATGATGATGGTGATGACGACGACGATGATGATGATGATGCTGACGATGATGAGAATGAGGATGAGGAAGATGGTGCTGGTGATGGTGATGAAGATGATGGTGATGATGATGAGGATGATAATGCTTATGATGATGATGATGATGATGATGATGATGATGATGATGATGATGATGATGATGCCGATGGCGGTGGTGGTGGTGGTACTGCTGCTGATGATTCGGATTATGTTGATGATGGTGATGATGAGGGGAGAAAGGGGAGGAGAAGAAGGGGGGGACCATGATGATGATGATGACGATGATGATGATGATGATGATGATGATGCTGATGATGATGATGATGATGATGATGATCATGATGATGATGATGATGCTGATGATGATGATGATGCTGATGATGATTATGGTGATGATGATGATTATGGTGATGATGACGAAAATGATGCTGATGATGATACTGATGATGATGCTGATGGTGATGACGATGATGATGTTGATGCTGATGCTGATGCTGATGCTGAAGCTGATGCTGATGCTGATGATGATGATGATGATGATGATGATGATGATGATGATGATGATGGGGGTGATTATGGTGATGATGGTGATGATGATGATAAATGCTGCTGCTGTTGATGATGATTCTGATGATGATGATGATGATGCTGATGCTGATGATGATGATGCTGATGCTGATGATGATGATGATGATGATGATGATGATGATGATGATGATGAGGTTGATGATGCTGCTGCTGATGCTGACTGTAATTGTGATGGTGAAGCTGAAGATGACGACGACGATGACGATGACGATGACGATGATGATGATGATGATGATGATGATGATGATGATGATGATGATGATGATGATGATGATGATGATGATGATGATGACGATGATGGTGAGGATGAGGATGATGGCTGCTGGTGATGCTGCTGCTGCTGCTGCTGATGATGATGATGATGATGATGATGATGATGATGATGATGATGCTGATTCGGACGCTGATGCTGATGTGGACGCGGCTGCTGCTGCTGATGATGATGGTAGTGGTGGTGGTGGTGGTGGTTTTGAATAAGAGTATTATTGATAATGCAAATAATCAGACCAATACTAATAAGACTACTGAGAGGAGGAAGAGGCGGCTGCGGAGGAGGTGGAGGTAGGGAAGGAGTGGGAGGAGGGTGAGGAGGAAGATGGGGGAGGAAGAGGCGGAGGAAGGAGAAGGGAGGCAGGAGAAACGAAGATACGGGCGAGCTGGAGGAGGGAATCGGGAGGAGGGAGGAGGAGGGAGGAGGGAGGAGGAGGGAGGGAGGAGGGAGGAGGGAGGAGGAAGAAGTAGCGGGAGGACGGGAAGGAGGAGAAGCATGAGGAGGAAGAGGAGGAGGAGGAGGAGGAGGAGAGGAGGAGGAGGAGGAGGAGGAGGAGGAGGAGGAGGAGGA